TGTATCAGCACGAAGGATAGTGTAGGCAGAGTGTATCCAATATTCGCAAGTTTAGTTACACATACAATGACAGCATATTTTTGTGCAACGGTCTGCTGGGTGCCTTTATTCCCATCTCTGAGATTTGTACAACACCTAAACCCCTCCTAGCGGCGATGGAAAAGCTAATTCAACATTGGATTAATGGACCATTATCTACATAAAAGGTCTGAACAACCACTTTATGAACCCCGAAATTTGAGAGTGCCTCTTTAAGCCAAATGATTGGGTCAATTACCTACGGTACATTTAAAAATCACATATATATATACATATTAGAAAATATATTTATACAGGCGTATTTGACAAATTAATTTATTGAAAACATACAGAGTTGCTTACTATGCATAAACAGTAAAGCTAATATATCAAAATTCATATATGTATGTCACTGAAGTCAATTTTTTTATAAGTCTATATATATCAAAATTCGCATCAATAAACCTTATATATCAAAATTCATATCACTAAAGTCAATATATCAAAATTCATATATGTATATCATTAAAGTCAATTTTTTTATAAGTCTATATATACCAAATTTCACATCAAAAACCCTATGTATCAAAATTCAGCATCTTTCCAAGCCCGGTTTCACACAGCATGAAGGGATGACAAGGGGTTGGCAACGAGTATTACCACCTGGTGGCAGACTAAGGTCGAGGCCAAGGCCGAAGACGAAGAAGGCGCCGGCGGAGACGAAGGCGCTGCCGGAGATGAGGGCGAGGCCAGAGATGCGAAGGCGTTGGCCGAAGACAAGGAGGGCGATGGAGCCGCCGCGCGCACCGCAGAGGAGGACGAGGGCGCCACGCGCTCTAGGGCCGAGGCCATCAGAGGACGAGGACGAGGGCGCCGCTGCGCGCGCCGGGGAGACGAGGACGAGGGCCCGCCGCGTGCGCCGGAGAAGTGGGCGTGAACCATGCCCGCGCCGGAGCCGAGGACGAGGACGCTGGCCGACCGATGGAGGACGAGGACGTGGGCGCCGCCACGCGTGCCGGAGCCGAGGACGAGGACGAGGATGAGGACCCACCGCACGAGCTGGAGAAGAGGGTGAGGTCGGACAGGCGGCGCACGACGGGGGTGGCGGCGCGGAGGAGTGTGTGGTGCGGATCCGACGGGGCTTGAAAGGAGAGAAGAAGAGAAGACACGAGTATATGTAGGGTTGATACCTTTAGTCCCGGGTTGGGCCACCAATCGGGACTAAAAGGCTTCTAGTCCCGGTTGGAGGCTCAGCCCGGGACTGAAGGTTTTGACCTTTAGTCCCGGGTTGGGCCATCAACTAAAGCCAAATTTTAGCGCGCGGCGAAACTGCTGTCTACCCGACAGTTTTGTTTTTCGTCCATGAAACAATTTATAACATATCATTTAACATAAATAGGCTGAGAATTAGAAATTACGTAGTTAAAAACATATAGCTCAAAAAAGTGCAATACAAATTTGCTTTCATATACAATTTATAATGCTTTTGTCTCGTGCTTTAAATGTTCAATAACATATGCTATAAATTATAATTTCAACTTAAAAATTCAAATTTCAAATTTCAAAAATTCAAACATAGTTTACTTTGACAAGATGATTTTAAATAAAAAAGTTGTCAACTACAAAGTTGCATAACTTTTCGAGATCTACAACTTTTATTTTGGTCATTTCTCCATTTGAAGACATTTTAAAATTTTAAATTTTAGAAATTCAAACATAGTTTTCCTTGACAAAATGATTTCAACTCAAAAAGTTATCAACTACAAAGTTTTGTAATTTTTCGAGATCTACAACTTTTATTTTGGTCATTTCTTCGTCCGACAAAATGGTATGACTTTGTCGGACGAAGAAATGACCAAAACAATAATAAAGATCTTAGAGAAAATTGCATACAAATATAATTAAAATATCCATACAAATAAACCTAATTAAAGTACATAACCGTTCGAATAACCCTGATTAAACATAATAGTTCAAATAAACCTAACTAACACATGGATTCTACAAACCGGTTGCAACCCTAGTCTGTCTCCACTGCCAACAGTGTATGTCTCGGATTGTGTACATTGTCTATGTAATGCAAGACCCGCACTACAACACTCTCCATTGCCTCACAACACCGAGGACATGGCATCCCATAGATGTAGCCTATTAACGGACTATCGATGGCCTCGTTCTGCCTAAATCTCACGTAATACTGGATGCCAGCTGTCGTCCTCTGGCCCGTCGCTTCCATGAAGTCCTAGACGTACCCCAGTCACTTAAGAGCTTACGTGAGAATGGGCTACAAGCCACATGTAGCATAGGTGAAATCATAGAGCAAAACCTGCAAGCGGACAAACAAAAAAATATCAGGAAGTGCTCATTAAAAATAAGAATAAATAAACATTACTCACATATCATATACGACGTACCACATCCATATAGTTGAATGTCGCATGCCTCTCGCTTACTCGCGGCACATCCAGACTATGCTGACGTAAAGCTTCTATCTTCAAGGACGATAAATCAGGTATACGGTAGCCAATTCGCTCAATTGTCTGCAAAGAAAGCAGCACGGCATCGATCTGGGCGTCTATCTTGATCGGCGACCATCGTCCAGTTTGCACGATACCTGGCGCACCTCATTATTGTACCTAACGGGGATTTCGAAGGCGAGACTACACGTCTATAACTCGCCTCCTTCATCATTCACGACCTCACTTGTCGTCGTCTCGAAGATATCCCACATCCCAAGCAGTCATAGTGCTGCTTCCAGCCACTTGACCGGTTTTATAGTCTGTGACATATACAACAATCATATTATGAATGAATGTATATATGCAAAAATTATATTAGCACGTAAAACTTAAAATATTCCATATTATTGATGGGTCTGGGTAACGCGGAACGGCCCTATCTGGCGATGGCGTGAATGGAAGATCGCCAGGGTGGAAACCTGGTTCCTGTGGCGAGGGAAGTCCGCCGCCGTTCATCGTAACTAAAAAACTAAAAAAACATCCCAATAAATATAAAACCCCCATATAAATATATCATGCAACAATATATATTAGAGAAACATATAAACAATAAATCATCAAGATATATATATATATATATATATATGCATGCCAGGTAAACTTAAACATTTTGCACATAATTTTGTTTAACAATTATTAACTCTCATCAAGAAATAATGTTGCTAACAAAGATCTAGAAAACAATAAATATTTAAGGTTATGTAGAAATAATGTATAAATAAAAATAAAATCCACCATTATATTAAAAAACCACATATTTGAATATTTATATGCTTATTACTAAAGCATGAAACGATCTACATTATTAGCAATGAAACATTAGAAGATTGAAGATGAAGCCGGCGGCCGAGAGCAAGAACTTGCTCCCCCAAGCAAGAACATGGATGAACAATAAGCAATGACCAAGATTTGACCGATGTATCTCGAGTTGGGGGCATTGGAAACGGGTATATATAAGTGAGGACCTTTAGTCCCGGTTGGTGGAGCGTACTAGGACTAAAGGATCAACCTATAGTCTCGGTTGGAGCCAAAACCCGGGATAAATGGCCAGCGGGACTTTTGGTCCCGGTTGGTGGTTCCAATCGGGATTGAAAGGCAACTTTTAGTCCCGGTTTGAACCACAGACCGGGACTAAAGGTCCCTGCTGCAAAAGCCTGCCGTACTATCCGTTGGGCAAGGGATTCTAGTCTCGTTTTGTGGTTCCAACCGAGACTAAATCTTCTATTACTCCCGGACCAAATTCCAGCCGAAACTAAAGGCAAAAACAAAAAGTCTATTATCTACTGTGTACAGTAACCCGACATTATGCAACGACAAATTAAGAAACTAAAGTCATGTACGTTAAGCTCTACCAAAGAGATCCTAAGTCTTAGCTCGGTAGCATTCTTGGATACGATCCTAAGTCTTAGCTTGGTAGCGTTCTTGGATACGCTGAGTTGTGTGTGTCCCCTCAATCAACAACTAAAATGAATCACATCAGTTCCTCTTCTCGGTTAAAGTACGAGAGGCAGAGGCAACCATGATTTGGTTGATGGATTGCAGGTAAAGGCAGAAATTAGAGTGTAGACAGGCTGAATGAAAATGTGCTCATTTGAATAGATACAGAAAATTGCTGCAACTAACCAACTCTTCACAATGGGATTAGTGCTCTGGCTGTCATCGACAACTTTGACTCGCAGGTCCGAGATCTTTGCGATGTTGAGTAGAGAGGTGGTCAGACTATCGAAGTCTGACCTGGACTTTCAGTGTCGTCCTGCTCGGCCATAACAACGAATCGTGAGGCATTATCGAGATGCCTATCAGGGTCGGCACCCTTTGTCGGTTTGTTGCTAAAACTAGGGTTGTGATCGCCAGGGCAGTACATAAAGGCATGTGAGACGCCCCTGATAGGCACCGAAGTCAGATATGAAATCCAACTAGGATGTCGTGCATTTTTTTTTATGAGACCGTGACACCTAAGAAAGGGGATAAATTATAGGCAACTTAAAATCTACTTCTAAACTTCCATCTAGCTAAAACATATGCAATAAATAATCTATCTAGATATATATGTAACTAAAGTTTTGTTGAGTGTGTTGCTATTTTTACCAAAAAAGTTATGCACCTTAGGTTCCAACCTTATCAATTAGGCTATCAAATTAAGCTAGAAAAGTATGCACGCAACCAATATACATATAAATATAAATGTGGAAGCTTAATTGAGATAAAGATACAAGACTCCTATCGATGACTCCATTATTTTTACCAAGATATCGCGCTTCTAGCCCCAAAAGCACAAGATAGATCGAGAATTGAAGGGCAAAGTAAGAAGAAGGAATTGATTGAAGCTAGTACTAGTCGACGGTAAACACGTAGGCATGTAATTTTTTTTTCTAAAAGAAAGGAAACAGAGGACGATCGTCTATGGAGATTGGAGCTAGAAAAATGAAGCTGATGGACATGCATGGCAGCAGATAGCTAGCACTAGTGCTGTTTCTTCTCCAAGACGAGGAAGACGTTGGAGTCCTGAGCCACCGCGGCACAGCTGGCCCTACGGTGTCCGTGTCCAATTCTTATACTATTGGATTCCCGTTGCAAGCTTCTAGCAATGATACAGAGTCCAGTTCTTATACTATTGAATTCCAGTTGCAAGCCTCTAGCAATGATAAGGAGTCCAGTTCTTATACCATTGGATTCCCGGTTGCAACACACGAACATGTTTGCTAGTTAAGATAAAGATACAAAGGTTATGTTCGCTTATCTTATAATTCGTATTTTTCAGTTTGTTTTTTAGCCGGAATAGTATTTTTCTCTTACAACAAATCAGCCGGAACAGTGTTTCGACTTGTTTTTTCAGCGAAGCGAACGGGCCAAACTCTCGTTGTTGACTCCGGATTTTTTACCGAGGTATCGAGAAGCTCACACTTATCCATGATCCTCGTTGGATAGATCGACGAATTGAAGGGCAAAGTAAGAAGGACGGAATTGATCGAAGCTAGTACTAGTCGACGGTAAACACATGTAATCTTTTTTCTAAAAGAAAGGAAACAGGAAGATGATCGTCGATGAAGATTGGAGCTAGAAAAAAGCGCGCTGTTGTACATGCATGGCAGCAGATAGCTAGCACTAGTAGTGCTGTTTCTTCTCCAAGACGAGGAAGACGTTGGTGAGATCGTCCTTGTTTCTGCTGGTGTTGCTGCGGTAGTATATGCCTCGAGCAGCAGGCTGTACCTGCAGAAGAGTCCGTCCATGGCGTCCCAGCCGAATTGCGTCCGCAGCATGGGCTCCACGACCGCCCTAACGGTGCTTGCCGTCTCCATGGCTAGCCACCGCGGCAACTCGTCTTCGTCCGCCTGGGCCTGGAGGAGGAGGCAGCGGCGCGTGGTGTCGAAGAGCTGCATGGTCCTGACGGTGAAGGAGCCTTCCTTGGCGATGACCTTGGCGAAGTCGTCGGGGCAGGGGCTGTAGTTGGGCGCGTTGAAGACGTGGACCTGGTCCTCGTCGACGAGCCCGGCGGCGGCCATGTCCATGAGAGCGTCGGCGAGGAGATCCCAGAGGTAGCAGTCGTGGGCGGTGGGGCGGGCGGTCCTCCTGGCGACGAAGGTGAGGAGGAGCAGGCCGCGGGCCTCATCTCGGCGGCGCGGCAGGAGAGGAAGGCGGAGGAAGTCGGCGTGGAACTGGGAGTGGTAGGCGTCCAGCACCGCCGCGGGGCCGGACTCGGAGACGTAGACGCGACCAAGGTTGGGATGCTCCATCCTCATCGTCGGCGCCTGTTAGGTAATTGTGCATGCAGACATGATCGAAGTTATATTAGCAAGTCAGTCTCGATCGTCGTTTCTTGTCATTTCAAATGATTTCATCATCTGTATATCTATCGATCGACAGTGCAGTGCACTTACGAGTCGATCAGTACCTTGGACAGGAAGTGCAGGCTGCTCGAGGATACGACGTAGTCCAGGCTGGCCTCCGGGAAGACGCGCTCGTAGAAGGAGCCCGGCCATGCCGACACGAGGCAGCAGCCGGTGGCGGCGAGCGGCGACGACGGCAGCAGCCGGAAGACGGCGTTGAAGTCGTTGGCGGGGAGGTCGTTGAGGAAGACGTGCAGCTGGGGCGGCGGCGGGTGGTGGTGCAGGTGGGTCTCCGCCAGCACGGCCTCGACGGCGTCGGACACCATGAGCAGCGCGTTGGGCCCCGTGGCGCAGCCCAGGTCGGCGATGCCCATGGAGTCCGGGCGGCCACGGGCGCGGTAGAGCGCCGCCGCCAGCTCCTGCCTGGCCTTCTTGGTGACGGAGGCGATGACCCGCTGGAAGTCGGAGTTGTTGGCGTAGCACATCTTGCCGTCGCTGCTGCTGTTCATGCGGCGCACGGCGACGACCGCTGCTGCTGCTTCTGGCCTCGGCCTCGGCCTCGCGACGACTACCGCCTCGTCCTGCAGCATCTCCATGTATTTACTGGGTTATTACTGTTTCTTAGCTTCGTTTGTTGTTGGAAAAATATCTTCTTTAATTCCTGGACCTGCTGCTGCTTCTCTTGCTACGACTGCAGCATATGCAGATGATGATCTTATGTATCGCTAGCTCTGTATATATAGCTAGTGAATGAGGAGGTGTCTAGATACAGGGTGTAAACTTTTGGGTGTCACATTGGATATTACATGTGGTGTCGCATGCGGTGTTCGGATACTAATAAAAAAATAAATTACAGAATCCATCGGTAAACCGCGAGACGAATTTATTAAGCCTAATTAATCCGTCATTAGCACATTTGTTAATGTAGCACTTTATTGTCAAATCATGGATTAATTAGACTTAAAAGATTCGTCTCGCAAAGTCGTCGTAATCTGTGCAATTAGTTATTTTTTTAGTCTATATCTAATACTCTATGCATGTGTCGAAACATTCAACGTGACAGGGGGTAAAGTTTTAGCGGACGAACTAAATAAGGGCGAAGTGAACAAGGAAGGGAAGGAAGGGAAGGATTATTGAAGGCATGGATAAAGATGGCAACGGGGCCCCGATACCCGACGGGTATTTGATCCATTAAGAGACGGGGATGGGATCATATCTTTACCCGTGAGCATCTAAATGGGTAAGAATCCATCCCCGACGGGTATAGCGGGTACGGGAACGTTCCCTGTTTATCCGTCCCCGTTACCCGTTGGGGAACCCGACTATTTGAGTTTTCATGCGAGTATTAGGCCCAAAGAAGCTCAACATAGGTATTTTGGCTCAAATCTGAACAATCATATATATAGTTTGTGTGTTCTATGAACCATAGTTCAATTTTTCCTTACCATCTCCGCCAGCAGCACAAGCACGCCTGCCTCACGAGCGCTCGTGCCCCTCGCTTCCTTAGTTCGGTCTCTCTGCCACCTTTGCTCGTCCTCCTCGCAACCTCGCTCTTTCTCCTCGGCATCTCCGAGACTCCGACACTTATACCCGGGTGAAGAAGAAACGTCTCCGATTGCAAAGCTGCGACCTCAAGTGTCCTTGTTTATCGGGTATGCAGTACCCGTCGGGTATCTGTTACCCGACCAATGCCCGACGGGTACGGCGATGGGCAAGAATCTATACCCGAGATAGTTAACGGGGACAGGGACGGGATGAATTCTTCGTAGTGGGGAAGAGAACGTTCCGACGATACCTGACGAGTACATCCCCGTTGCCATCTTTAGGCATGGATATGCATGTGTAGTGTATGATGATACTATGTAGGCAACCACAACAACCTACCCATCTATGAGTGGGCGTGGTCTCGCACAGCATCCAGCACTGCATCCATGTCACTATGCATATGTTGTTGCAAGCTTGTTACCCACCGCTCTTCCGTGCCAAACGTTTAGACTCACTTTAGGCTGAAGCAAACACCCTTGTTAGCCTGCGTAGTTGCCTGCATTAATTAAGGGTCGTAAAAGATCAGAGTCAGCAGAGGAAACCGGCAGGCCGAAGCATGGGTCCTTCTAAGAGGCTGTTTGTTATTTCTTCTAAATTTTAGTCGTTGTTTTATCGCATGTTTGATATATGTATGGAGTATTAAATATAGACTAATTACGAAACTAATTGTACAATTTGCGACTAATTTACGAGACAAATCTTTTAAGCCTAATTAGTCCATGATTTGACAATGGTGCTATAGTAAACATGTGCTAATGATAAATTAATTAGGCTTAATAAATTCTTATCGTGAAGTACTGACGGATTCTGTAATTTATTTTTTTATTAGTATTTAAATATCTCATACGACACCCTCACGTGACACCTCTTAAATTTTAGTCCATAGATCCCAACACCCACTTAGCTTGGGTCCTTGCGTGGTGTTGAATGATCAGAACAGCCCTGATCGTGGCTTTCTACAGAGGACGGCAACCACCGCCTAGTAGAGTGTATGTAGGCCAAGAGAAGTCAAAGTCATCCGTGACGATGTGTTGATGCAACAGCGGAGCGGAGGAGATGGCCGGCGAACAAGCGTCCTCTCATTGATTATCGCTGATGAGGCGCGGTGGCGGCTGGCGGACAGGCGGAGGGAGCCACCGTCGTCTTTTTGTTAGGCCCTGTTTGGCAGGATTTCTTTAACGGTTTTAGAAGTTGCAGGATTTCTTTAACGGTTTTAGAAGTTGCTTAGAGCCGTTTTCTGTCAAACAAGGTAAAATAAAACGGCTTCACTGATGAAGCCTCTAAAAACATGTTCTCACAGAGCTTTGGGGTGGGAAGGAGCCAAAAATAGTGGCTTCTCCCGGCTCCTCCTCCAGGCCTCTAAAAACATGCTCTCACAGGAAAGTCATTTTGCTAAATGGTTTACCAAAACCGCTTCAGCTCCACTGGTAGAGCTGTTCGTGTAGCTAAAACAAAAAAAAATGACTTCACTAGTGAAGTGAAACTCTACCAAACGGGGCCTTATATCCAACTCCAACCATTGCTGATGTCCAAATTAAAAGCTACCACTAGTAGTAGTTACATGTACTACTCCATTAAAGATACTAGCCACGACTGCCCGCGCTTCGCTGCGGGTGATGTGCTTGGTATAGGTGGCTCATACGTTTAATATGTTTCTCATCGCGTTGGTACGAAAGATTGGTCTATTTGGTACATTAAACGGGTAAATATGAGAAAGAAATGTAACATGGTTTTTTTCATTACAATGTTGTAAACGAACATAGAGGTTGGTTGTCATTACATGATGCCTATTGTAGGTCAGCAAATCAATGACATGTTAGTGGAAAGAAGCATTTGATGGAGTTAGGCTCAAACAACTAAGACACTTAGATTTAAAGTACAACATTGGCAAGGATTGCATTATAGGTGGAAAGAGCAAAAACTACAACACAAGTATGTCTCTTAACATGAGGGTTTACAAAAAGTGAATTAGGATCCACTCCCCTTAGGCGAAACTACAACATATTTCGTAAATCTGGAATCACACAAAAGATTACACGGCGTTGAACACTAAATTACACCGGGATTTAAAGTTATATGGTTAAGAGCAACCTAGTACAACCAAGGGTTAGTCCAGAAGTCGGAATAGACGAGGGCAAAGGAGAAACAACAAGATAATGATTATCCAAAACATGGCGTATGACCAACAGATCCAGAAAAAGGAGACTGAGAAGTAAAACATCGTTAACCCTAAGACCAAACTAATCAACGGTAGACTTGAACTTCTTTGAAAACCATATCCTTTCTTCTCAGATTACACCATCACCTCTGTTAAACGAACCTAGTTCCACAATGACGACGGGATCTCTTAGATCTGCTTCGAATTCGAGAGGGACGAGGATGAAGGAGAAGAGAAAGGACCAAGGCATCTTATAGTGGCGAACGTAGATAGGGCGCAGCGCACCGAAAGTGGAGATGGCATGGATGGGATACACTACTGGTTCACGCTGTGGGGATACAACCGGCCATGGCGTGCTTCCTGCGCAAGCGAGCGGAGGGGGGGATAAAGGAGAGGAGAGCGGGTTCGCTCGATGAGGGAGGCGTGCGGGCGGCCTTGTCCCCAAAAGAAGAAAGAAGGGAGGAGGTCTGGTATGGGGACGAGGGCGAGTATCAAAAGCGGACCGAAGGACAGAAAAAGTAGAAGCGCACAGTGCACGAGGACGGCGAGTGCGGCATGATGTCGTGGCCATGCGAGGACAAGGTGCTAACGGGCCCGACACCGACGGCGTCCGTAGGGCACGCGGTGACAGTCACCCGACGTGCGTAGTGTGTTCAAGCTGGGCATAGTGCTTGGGACTTGACATCCACTCAGGCTTTTCTAAGCACTCCCTACTACCCAAGGCTAACTTTTCCTAGGTGTTCTTCTTTCATTCCCTTTCTTGTCCACAATATGCGCCAACCTTTGTACGAAGTGAGATCGCAACATCTTTTCAGAATTATCTGAACCATGAGGATGCCAGTGACCTCTGTTCAGGCATGGCTCCCTTTGCTTTGCTCTGTTGTCTATCTATTCCACACCCTGATACCCACATCTTTTTACCTTTTTTTGGTAAAACTATACCGTACTCGAGTGTTTCTCGAGCGGTGAGCACTCGATTTTCTACGGGTACGATCCAGCACGGACAATCGCCCGCGCCTATGCACGACGCGTGCTCCGGAGTCCCACGCGCGTCGCCCCGAGGTGCATGGCCTGGTCCGCCTCTGCACCGACCAGTTGCAGGTGCATGCATGGCGTGCTGTGGTGTGGTAGACCAGACCAGGGTCACCCCGCTGCCATCAATCACCTCGCCCGCTGCATGAACCTATGCATGCATAACTATTTGTAGCAGTAGAGAAGTTTGACTCAGAAAAAGCAAAATAAACTATAATTTGGATTGGAGGGAGCAATGGTCAACGCTTTTTGAGCAATTCTAGTAGTCATTTAACATTTGGGTTACACGGTTGGATGTTCTCTCTTCGTTTTCTACAAGTAAAATAATTGGATAAGAGTTTTGTAGGCCCTAAATGGACTTGTTTGGTTCATGGGCTCATGGGCAAACTCGTCGAGCAATCTTTAGTCTTTGATTCTTTGCACTGTTTGACCACTTCAGCTGTCATGTTTTCTTAGCACCGTCTCACATGCTGTAGATTTATTTTATAGCCACAACTTCTCACTATTGTGGAGTCCAAAGTTTTCGTCACAAAAAGTGTGGCGCGTTACACTTCACTTTTGTGGAGTCCAAATTCTCCGCCATAAGAAGTGTGGCTCGTTACACTTGATGACTTGACTAAGCTTAGCCGTGGCAACAGTGGCGGAGCCGCAGGGTATGCCGGGTATGCACCGGCGTACCCTGCAAAACCGGTGGCAAGTAGTATATATATACTATATAATATAGTGTATACGCTGTATTTATAAAAAATAAAAATGAAAAAGCATACATGGACACCATCGCTTGATGACGGGAGGCCCATGTTGATGAGGACATGACCTCCATACATATGACCATGCTTGAAGAACCATATGGAGACCAAGGAGATCAGTGAGGGTGTCCTAAGCGAGATGGAGGCCCGAAGCTCATCCGGTTCGAGTCACTAAGGTGGAGGCCCAAATCAAGTTCGAATCCATCTCGGCCTACAGGACCAGTCTGCCTTAAACTGGTCACCCAGAACGCATCCGGACTCCGTTTTCGACGATCCACATATGGATGGAAAGATAATTTCATAAGGAAGCCAACCCAAGTGGTTTCACGTCAAAATCTCTTCGGAATCAACAGGAATCATCGAAACAAGTCAGCGTCCAGAATCTGCCAAGGTGCTGCGACACCGTATTTTGGTCTGTTGGACCATGTATTGTGTTCTCCATCTAGTTAAACAAAAAGTTTTTACAAAAGCACATATTGTTTCAGCTATAACTGAATACGAGGAAATTACCAACTAACAGTTTAGTATTGCCACATGTAAATTATGATGAAACACAACAAATTGATTGTGGAATAAAGGAATTACATACCATTTGGGTTAGATGACACACGAACAACCTTAGCAGCTATTTCTGTGTTGCAATGTTTCTCCATGTCATATGTGAGAGCTGGTAAGGTGGAAATAACACACATCAAAAATTGCAGGAGGCGATATATAGTATTTGAGTGTACAATTTGAATCTTACAATTCTTCCTTTGGCTCTTCTCTTCAGAAGATTCTTGGAACACTTGAGAGGAGAAAATCCGCAGCTGTTACAAATCAACCAGGTAAAAGTATATTTCATAAACATGCTCACTAATTATAAGAGATCTTCTGGGTACTAGATAAATGCACATTTGATTTGAAGACAACTTAGACAAAGGTATGATGGATACCAAGAAGCTTGTGAAAACTCAGGAAGCAAAAACAGAATTTTGAACGATACATTATGAAATGATATCCATATGTACTACTCATCAAAAACAAACAAGCTAAATTTGTGAGCTTACCAAATGGCATGGATTTGACAAAAAGTAATCATCTTCCTGAAGTGGTTCACCATCTGCACCACTAAAAAGTAAAAAGGACAAAATAAAGTTTCACTAGGTCATACAACAAAAGGAGGGCGTCTAAAATATTTATATTTAACAAGAAATTTTCCACGGGAGAATGAAATTCAAACAGACCTTCAGTTACAAAGAGAAAATAAGGCAGTTACCTGTTTGCTACCATGCGGAGTTGTCTAAAAGGCCATGTGTACACTCCTTCTAACCTTATTTGAGCCACTCCACCATCGTGGGCATTGTCAATGACATCATGGAATGTAATTGAACCCTGAACATGTAAGGAAAGTAATCAGTGAGTACAACATACTGAGGAAAAGGATCAATCTTGCAACAACATCCATAATCATAGTTAGCTCAAGGGTTGGTCACCAGCACCCGCTTCCTCTCCTCCTCCCCCGCCATTTGCACAAAAAACAATCAGATTCATCACATCTGCACAAAAAACAATCAGATTCATCGTGAAAAGAAAATTTCTGAAAGCAAGCACATCAGTAGCAGTTGAGAGAGAGACAGAGAAAGAGAGAGAGAGACGATGCTCTTCAGATCCAGGATGGGAGATGCTATTCACAAAAAGAAAAGACAGAATCTGCTCCTCCGTTGGCCACCAGAGACCTAGGACGTCGGATCTTGCTACCGGGGGAGAACCAGGACGACGACGCCATCGTTGTTGTGGTGTAGCCGTGCAGGGCCACTGCTGGTCGCCGAGGAGCCATGCCGTCCTGGTTGAAAACGTGATTCGATGACACCGCCGCCGGGGGAGACCACGCCACCAGGGAACGCCGAGCGTGCGGGCCTGGGCACGCCATCGCAGAAGAGGAGGAGCAGCTTTGGAGCGCTGGCCACCCGCCACCGATGCATCCAGCCTCCTGCGGGGGAAGCCAGGGGATCCACCCATCAGTGCTGCCACCAACCACGGCACGCAGACGCAGAGACGCCACCGGCAGCGTGAGGGCCGTTGACGCCATCGATGGGGTGGAGGATGAAGGCCGAAGCTCGAAGAGGATCAATCCACGATGCCCCTGCACGGATCCTCCTCATCACTGGAGGGAGGGACGGGGAGGGTGGCCACCGCCGGATGCAGGGGGCCCTCGTCGGCGCCAGTACCGGAAGGAGGGGAGGGGGCAGAGCCGCTTGCGACGTTGCAGCCGGGGAAGTCCGTAGCGTGAAGAATACAAAAGGCACCGACGATTGAATGATGCCGAGGTTTAGGGACGGGATTCCCAGGGCTGGAACGTGGAAAGGACGAAACAAAAACGATGGATGCATGTGTAAGTGCTTGGTCGGTGAATCGTACTGGCATGCGTGCCGACCACCGTGCGGCACCGGCCATGCATGCCGAGAATCCGTCTCCCCTACTACGCGCCACCATCCATTTGCATGCGACGTACAATCACCAGGGAAGCCCTACCTCATTGAATGCATCCATGCAGGGAGAAAGGCCGATTCTGACGCGCCTCATCTGTGCCATGGAATTTCTATCTAACGTACCAAATAAAAAGAACGTACGTGGACACTCTGGGAGGCCGCCGATTCGGCGTGCCATATATCTTTAATATGGCGCGTCGAATCGGCGACCTCCTAGAGTGTCCATGTACGTTTTATTTAGCTGGTGCGTTAGATAGAAATTTCACGGCTCAGATGAAGCGCGTCATAGACAGCCTTCATGCATCCCCTCCGTACTACCGTCGGATAAAAACAAGTCGGACAGATGAACATTTAATTCCTCTCCTCTTTACCCACCGACCATGTGCCGACCATGCTTATACGCTCGGCACTGGATGGGCCACCGACCATGCACCGACTCCCATCCCGTCCCCGTCTCCGATTCTTATCCCATCCCCATCTCCTTTTCTCAGTCGCACAGCACCCGAACCCGTCGCCTCCAACCCTAGCTAGACGAGCTCCATCTCGCCGCCGGCACCGGTCCCTCCCCCATTGGCCTCCCCCTCCTCTGCTCCTCCCTCCTTCCCCCTACAATCCTAGCCCCGACGAGCTCCACGACCCTGTCACCGCCGTAGCCACCCTCCTCGCCGTCGCCTCCGCCATGACCTCTTGACCTCCCTGCGTGGTCTCCCCTCCCGGCACCTCATACTGGTGCAGCCTGCTGTAGGGGAGCATAGCAAAGTGTAGGGCTGGCACCGCCCTAGCTTTGGCCTGGCTGTGGCCAGCAGACGCCAAGACAGCAGTTGCTGCGGGTTTCGACACGACTTCCTTTGTTGCGCGTCGCCCACTGCGGCAAATAAGCGTTTGCTCTGCTGCTGCTGCTGCCATACCATACCGCAGTCCCATGGCAAGGACCTTCATTTGGGCGTCAACTTCACCATCGGCAGCGCCACCGCCATGGATCCACCCTTCTTCCAGAGATCGGTAGCGTCAGGCAAGCTCTGGACCAGCCTCTCCCTCGGCGTCCAAATTTCGGCTGGTTCAAGCGACTCAAGCCATCACTCTGACTCCCCAAAAGTCCATTCCTTCGCATTGCATGGCCTTCTCAAGTACTCCAAATCTGATTTTGCATTTGGGATTTTGAGTGTCCTAAGAAAAAGAGATTCTCCAATGATTAAGATTCAAGTGCGCGTGTTGATTGCAATGTCTTTTTCCGCTCGAATGAATTGAGACAACAGAGTGCAAGGAGTACTTCAGCAAGTCCTTGTTCCTCGTCGGAGAGATTGGGAAAACAACTACAGACCACGCCTTCTTCAAGGGCAAGACCACGGGCGACACTAAAACCTACGTTCCCACACGCCGCCGCCACGGTCACCGATGCCACCGAGGTCAGTCACCGAATCTTGCTCCCCATTGTTTCTTGTATCTCGCTCTACATTTCGTGACTAAACAATTTGGGCGCTACTTCTGCTCACGCCAACAGAGGTGATCAAGGCGGCGCCACGCACCTGGTGGTGCACAGGAACTGCCCATTAGGTGCTCACAAGATACCGACCCTACACGAGCGAACAACAGCGACTATGATGTGCGGTGGGCGCCTCAAGACGATACAATGACTGGCGCAGAGCACCACAACGCAGTGCTCAAAGAGAACTCTGCAGGCGCGCCGGGCCAAGTACCCGTGAGGCAAGGATCATGTACACCGACTACTACGGCGCCGCCATGTCCTTCGCCAAGAACCCCAAGCGATTCGGTGAGTGCAATTGTTCAACCACCTCATATCGTGATCCCGATTACGGGAGAGCACGGCTATCTTGATCCTCCCACGGCCCCGCCGGATCACAAGAACGCGGCATAGCGCCTCTGCCACGACGTGGTCCACCTGTGATGGACACCATGGTGCTTATCTCTCTTTGATCCCATCTTCTACTAACGAATGCCTCACTCATGGATGCTTTACACCGCGTGCTCAATGATTTGCTTGTACAACAATGTTTGTTGCTAACCAAACAACCATGACCGCCTTTCTGCATGAACAGAGATGCAGAGGCACATATCTACATTACTTTTTGTGCGTGTGTCTCAGGACATATTACGGTTTCATGCAGTTTATTGGCCAGCCTTGTTAATGTCAGCAGGTTTAAGTGTTCCTAATACAGTTTTTTGTCATGGATTCTTGACAAAGGTGATCTTACTTATTTACAATTGTACTTGTTTCCACTTATAGAGCCCTGATGACAGTATAGCACTCTACCATAAGTCCAAAAAAAGTATATAGATTCCCAGTCACCTTTCATGTTTTATCTCAGCAAGTCACTTTTATTTCGTGCACCAATGGCTTCTATTTTGAAAATTTTAGGATGGCATGAAGATGGGTAAGTCATTAGGCAACACGCTTGAACCAAAAGATCTGGTAGAAAGATTTGGCGTTGATGCTGTTAGGTACTTCTTGCGGGAAGTAGAATTCGGCAATGATGGGGACTATTCAGAAGAACGCTTTATCAATATAGTCAATGCTCATCTTGCTAATACAATTGGTGTTTCTACTTAAATTACCTTTGTTTCTGAAACATGTATATACTTTTCATGTGTGCTGAAATTGTTATGTCATTTGCCTTCTTTCTTCACTTGGTGCTCCTTGTTTGTGTTACCTATGCATCTTTACGTGTTAATAATGATCTCACTTACTCACTTGAACTGGAAACCTCCTTAATGGACACTTGGGCTACTAAAAAAGAATTGTAAATCCAAACTAGCTTTTGATTCAATTGCTGCTGCAGATGGAAGTTTGTTCAGAGATAACATAGAAAACCTGGTAAGTAGGTTTTCATGGTACCTTTTAAACTGAGGAGTGGAGGATAAAGGATTTAATTATAAACCACGTGTTTGTGATTGAACCGGTAGTCTAGTATGTATATAACCAACTGTATAGAGATTTAAAGACTTAGAAAATATAAGGTCTACAACAGTGAATTTGTTTTTTACTCTGTCAACAAGTGTTGCCGATGATGTGGTGGGTCCATCTGTAGTTTGAACACATGAAACAATGATGGTCTGCCTAAGAAGTACCACACATTCACATGCCCTGTTGTGTCTCTGTTCGAATCACCATGAAATTGTTTTTACAGGTGGACAATGCAAAACACCAGTATGAAAATCTTTTGCTGTCATCAGCATGTGAAACTGTTCTAGAGATTGGTAACCTTGGAAACTTGTACGTCGATGAGCAAGCACATGGTCCTGTTTCAAGCAAGGGGGTGAGAGTGCTGAAAAGGCTGCAAAGGTAAACATGTAAAAACTATTTTTACTCTCACCTTTTCACCTATGTTTCAGCTGAATTTGCCAAATCTTAAATGCTGAAAATACGAATTTGAAAAGTCAAAACATCTAGTCAGTTTGTAGCTTATGAAAGTGGCCTCCCTTGGAGCCTCAAAATACTATTGTTGTTATACATCTGACTGTTTTGACAGCATCCTAGCTCTGATTTCACCATTACTGGTATACTCTCTGTGATATCGAACATCAGCGATGAATCTTATAGGTCAATGATTTATCTAATGTTATATGATGTATATGATGCATGAAGCTCCTTATTAGCTCTCTACAAAACTTGTTCCACTGTTGTGAAATGTTTGGATGCAACCATAAATGATTGTTATTTCAGATGTTGTTTGGCAAGCTATGATACACATTCTAGAGGAATTGCACTCTGCGTCTGTACTTTTGTGATATGACTACATGGCTTAATCTGTCTCAACTTATCTACAGGATCTTGTACTTATTTTAGAGACAACGAGGATAATTACAATCGCACTATCTCCTATCACTCCAAGCCTTCCTCTGAGGATTTACACACAACTTGGTTTCACAGAAGACCAGTTTAGGGTGTTGAGATGGGTATGTTCTTATATCACAGACGTGCTGTATGATCCCATTCTTATTTATACATGTTCATCCTCAGCAGTACAATCAGGCATCATCAGGAAAATGCAGTCTTCAATCTTTTATGAATCTACCTCAATATTTTCCAGAGCATGTAATCATTTCCAGCTATTTCATTAGGAGGATACAAAATGGGGAGGCCTTAAAGCAGGCCAGGTAATGTCAGAGCCAAAGCCAGTGTTTGCAAGGATAGAAACCGAGACGGAAGAGGATGCCCAAGCAAGTTCAAAAGCAGCAAAAGGTGGGAAGAAGAAAGCACGCAGCAAAGGACTTGTAGAGGCATAGTTTCTGGTGGAACCATGTATCAGCATCGTTAAAAGGAGAATAATAGTGTAACATTTTTTTGGGAAAGGTTTAGCCTATCTGTTCCTGAATTTTGTTCTTTGCGAACGTATCACACATTGTATCGTGTAGATAGTAAAAAAAGAAAGAAAGAAAAAGAAAGAAAGGAAGGAAAAAACAAAAGAAAAAAAGGTGAGCCTGATGCTCTATCAGAAAGAAAGCTTGGATATTTGCTTGTAGAGCTGGCAGCGGATTTGGATCATCCAAAATCTAATTGGATACTATTTGTTGTTTTGGCTATGCTTGGATAAGGTCCATTTGGATTTGGATATCATCCCCATGTATGATTCAGTAGTGTTCGAATTTCATTGGGAGAGCAAGTTAAAAAATCCAATGTCCATTAGATATCTTTGGACTTGAAAGAGTGGTTTATAATGTCTAGCATGCATTTCTAACTAATGTCTAGCTGACTAGCTTAGATTTCTAACTAACGCGGGGTTGACGTGTTGGCTTTGATGCACTAATATACACAGTAGTTGGTTGTTATATTGGGCTATTTTAAATAAATTTTAATCGATTTTTAAAATGTATGGTCTCGCGGTCGCTCGAGTTTGCGCTGGGATCAGGATCGCATCGTAGGCTACGAACTCGACGATGACTGGTGCGAACTGTCCACACCGAACAGTATGGGATTTGCTCTGATCTATTGTCCCATCCGATCCCACGGTGAGCTGAGACTCACCGAGTGGTGGTACCAAGTGGCTAGGATAGGCCTTTTGTAATGGTAGAGCGGTCATTGGTCTTGGCGCAGTCCACCATTGAGTCTGGCGCGGAGACCAATAAAAGGAAAGCGGCAAGATTTTTGCCCGCACGAGATGAGTAGTGTCCGAGGCCATTCCCTAAGGTATCCAGAAATTCGCTCAGTAAATTTGAAAGCACCGGACATCTTCACCTACGCATGGTGGGTCGAAAGCAGGTAGACGCATTTAATGCCTTCCCTCCATGCTACCATCACATAACAACAAGTCGGGCAGGTGGACATATTTAATGCATCTCCCCCTTACCATCAGATAAAAATAATCCACCGACCATGCAGGAACATTTGTACTTACACATGCATCCATGCATCTAATAGACGGATGGTGTGCATGCATGGCCGGTGCCTAATTAGCATGGTGGTTGGCACGCATGCGAGTACACGTGCGTGCATGCTGCTGGGGCCTTGCTTGCTTTGCATGCATGGCCGGTGTCCCAGCTGTACCCGTTCTTATCTCCTTGTGAGAAGGTAAAATTTTATGGCCTGTCCTTTCTTTACGAGAATACGTCAACAGTGGGGCAACGGCAGCAGTAGTGCATGCATGCACGCCTTTAAACCAGCAGTGGCTTCAGGCCAACTAGCACCCATCCCCACAAAAATACTAACACTTCAATGTCCTTTACCCATACCAAGAACACAATTTGCTAAGTAAAAAACCAAAGTACTATTGATATGTTTAGTAAGCAGAGATGTTTAGTAGCCAGGATGGATACGACTATGATAAGACATAAGATGCATGCGCCCATGAAAATTAAATGTATATAGAATTCGGCAATCTCTAGGTCTGTTAGCTATGGACACTGAACAACTGGAAGCCTCCACGCGGAAGCACTGACTAAAGCTAAAATGGGAAGGGAAAACAAAAGCAGTACACATGCTTGTAGGACAAAGACGAAAAGTAGTGATCTTCATCAGTTCTAAGTGAACCACGCCAGGACCACAGACCGCTCCGCCTTTATAAGCAGAGCCTGGCTTAGCCATTGGTACCACCACTCGGCGCACTTTAGCTCGCTTAGGTTTTCCCTTTGAGCAAGCTTTTTGCTCATCCCTTCTTTGTAGCCACCGCCAGAAATGGCAAGAGCCTGGGTTAGTAGTTACTGCCTGAACGTTGAGGGTTTTCCTAGAATCCTGCATGCCACCCTGCAAAAGCTCAGAGTCAAAGATTGTCCCGAGTATGAGGGCCATGAGTATGAGAAGCATGGCACCGATCGGTGTGAGGTTACCGTCTACATTGAGAAGAGTGAAGAGTTCCCCGACATCACTGAAGCCTGGAGTGTGACCGCAACCGGGTTTAGCTTCACTGACACCTACCAGGTTGTGGCCCGCAAAGCCTTGCGGTACCTTTGCTAGCTCTATGAAGAGCCCATTGCCCATACCCCCATGAGGTTCTTTCCACCCTTGGATAGGAATCGGCGGGCATGGAGGGCTCGCATGGAGGCTTTGCAAGGGCAAGATGCGCAAGAAGATAGTCCTACTGTGGTGCACTTGACCACGTACCTGCTTGCTCTAGATGAGTAGTATGACCGACAAGCCTTGGAGCTGAGGGCGTGCCTCCAGCACACCGAAGAAGCTGAGATCTTCACTCGGATGCTCCAGGTGCAGCTCGCCGAAGCGCATGCCAGTGTTGCGGCTGCTAAGAGCCGGGAGACTGCCATGTCAGAAGCTCTGAAGGAGGCCGAAGATCGGCATGTTCATCAGCTGGGTGAGGCCTATCTGTTCACTAGGGCCAAGCGGAGGACGCTGGTTGATGAAAGGCAGGATGCCCCGATCTTGGAGGGGATCCCTATCTACCCGCCTGAAAGAAGGACAACCGGTGATGTAGAACCGTCAGCACCTCCACCTTCGGAAGTGTTAGAAGCAGAACCCTTAGTTCCTCTCACTCAGCCATTACCACGAGAAGATGTAGATCCATAGCCAGGACGGTAGAAGAATCCGCCGAGCACAGGAATAAAGATGCGTGGTTCCAAGGTAGATTAGTTGCCTTGGGATGTTGTACCCGTAGTAGTAGTGCTTTTCATCGCTGTCCTCATGTATTGTACTCTTGCCGTTGTTGTCGTCCGTAGTTGTTGGATGCGTGTTGTAGTTTCACCTAAGGGGAGTGGAGCCTAATTCATTTTTTTGTAAACCCTCGCGTTAGGAGAAGTACTTGTGTTGTAGTTTTTGCTATTTCCATCTATAATGTAATCCTACCCAATGTTGTGCTTTAAATCTAAGTATGTTAGTTGCTTGAGCCTAACTCCATCAAATACTTCTTTCTACTAACATGTCATTGATTTGCTAGCCTAGAATAGGCGCCATGTAATGACAACCAACCTCTATGTTCATTTACAATATTGGGACCAACCTTCCGTACCAACACGATGAGAAAACATATTAGACACATGAGCCATATTTCTCAAATTTTTTCCTATATCAAGCACATCACCGACAGCGAAGCGCGGACAGCAGTGGCTAGGATATACAATACCAATGGCCATGACTATCTACCTAACCACGGCTACACAGCACTCTATATATACAGTACTACTACTAATATGCTCAGGCCACTAGCTAGCTAGCTAGGACGGCTCCACAAATTCTTTTTTTTCTGGCAATTTTTTCAACGTGGAAATCTGTATATAGCCACCACAGATTTTGAACACATACTGCTTTATCTGCTCTATATAACCACCACAGATTTTGAACAAATTGCTTTTCATCTTACTCTGTTCGGCCGATGGTTTTTGCGGCTCATAAGCCGGCCGATATTGTTTTGTTGTGACAGAGAAACAATGTACCATGGCTGATAAGTTGAAATGAACATGATTGGTCGTTCTGTTAACCTAAGTCATACTGCTTTTTGCCGATTTCGTATCAGGTCTATATCTACTCTTGCCACCACGCACGGTGACCGTAAAATTAATTTTAAATTATATTAAAACTCTATTACAATAATTTTTTCAGCACTGTATTTTTCATAGAACAATATTACTACATGTATAATTCTTTGATTGAGGAAATTCAAGATCAACGTGGTAACTAAGAGTGAAATCTATGACATCGAATCTTTTTTCAATAAAACACAAAAGGGAAATTATGAATTAAAGATACAATAAACACTAGATTTTGAACACATGGATGAAAATTGCAACAACTGATAATAAAAATTTGAAAGCACATACATCGTTCATGATATCACAAAAGATATGCAATAAAAGTTGATACTCCCTCTGTCCCTAAATAAATAGATTTCTAGCAAGTTTAAGACATATTAGTACGACAGAGAAAAGACCATACTAGCCTTCATTAATTATAGTAGTTGCACACTGGTCGGTAATTGTTCCAGTAACACACTAATTATAGCATTTACTACACACATCCAGACTTTGAGGAAAATAAACCTAGAGATAGATTTATTTGTAGACAAATTCTTAAGCTACGAATCTATTCATTCAAGGACAGTGGGAGTATAACTTAAGATAAGGTGTCGGCTAAATATATATTAAACCCCCCACAAAGGTTTTATGCAAAGGTGAAAACATATATAGAGTAACCGACAAATTTATCAGAACCGAATATAGATTATAGAGTACCTAAATGTGTATTATGTCAAGAAATGGATACAGATGAATCAGTTGAGTCGTTTTATGAATTAAACTTTTAGGATGTGGCTATGCGTGCGCCGTGCGCACGCACGCACATCACCTTCTTAGTCGCAAAAAAAAAGCACAGCAAAACTTCTTCCTCCTTGACTCCGTCGCCGCCTTACTTCCCCCCCCCCCTCCCCCCCCCCTCGGCGTCGAGCTAGGGGTTTTGGCTGAGCTCCACGGCCATGGAGCTCGGCAAAACCCTAGCTCGCTCATGGCGCCACCTTCTCCCCAAAGGATTGCCTTGGCCATGGCGCTCTGCCCCTGACCTGGCCCGGCCGGCCCCCACCGCCGCCAAGGCCCCTAAACCGCCCGTCGGCATCCCACCGCCTGGGCAGCCTTCCTGTCCCCCCCCCCAAACCTTTCCTTCTAAGCCCGTTGGAGTTGGGGAAGATAAGGGGAGAGCTCGCTAGAACCCTAAGCAGCAGCAGATCTAGAGGAGGAGGGAAGAGGAGGATTAAGAGGAGGCCTACCTCGCTGTTACTGCCGCCAGCAGCGAAGGGGAGAGAGGGAGGACCGCATGGGGAGGAGGTGGGGCATGGGTGCGGACTCGCCGAAGG